ATATAGATATATATATATATCCGACAATATTCATATTTTTGTCACTTAAACCTTCTTTAACTCACCTCTAGAATTTCTCTCTGTTAAGTTTTAATCTCCCACCTTCTCTCGTCTGTTACCCCTCTCTTTAGCTCTAACATTCGTCCCACACTCTCATACTTACACTCTCTCTAAATTCTATTTTTTATTTCCGGAGTTGTTTCTGTTTTCTTTTTGAATTTGTAGGTCTGATGAATTGGATCGTATTTACGATTCCAATGGAATAAATTATGACCATGGAATATTAGTGTTTAAGCCTTTTTACTATATCCTTACTCTGTCCTGAACATTGAGTTCCACCTGGATTCTATCCTCTTGTAATTTTTTTATTCATAAAATATATATGTATGTGTATGCATCTATGTATATATATATATTTATATATTTTGTATATATGTATATTTACCACTAATATCTATCTATCTATCTATCTATCTATCTATCTATATATATATATATATATATATATATATATATATATAAATGTATGTGTGTATCTATGTATGTGTGTGTTTGTGAGTTTATGTCTTTATACATGTAGTATAAAAATGGAAAAAAAGAAATTTATCTATAGAATGCAGTTCTATACTTACCTCCGAAAATTATGGCTTACCTGACAAAGTGTTTTCATGCAGACTCGTGACAAATCCTTCTCAATAAAGCAACGACTGGAATAATGTTTATCCTTGTTTGGTAATATAATCCATAGTCTTCATTCATTGGTTATTTAGTCAAGGAGACATGAAAACGTGAGATACGGGAAGAAATGTATTTACAGCAAAAGAAGGAAATATAAATAAACGTAATATTATTTCATAATTTATTCTTTTAAAGTCTAAATATAATTTTGCTTATTTGTCTTGAATATTTGTGTGTTAATATCCTTGTCTGTGAGGATGGACTGATAAGTATGTCCTATGACACGCAGTTTTTAGCTGAAATCAAATACGAAAATTTATCTGCCTAATGTTCTGGTTGCGTAAATAGAATGAAATACATTGAGAGCCGAGTTCGAATTCTAGACGAGTTAATTCCATTACAGTTTTTTTTCTTGCACTTCCCATCTGCGGAACTCCCTTCCGATTTTCTGCTTCACTGATAACTACATGGATACTCGTTGTGGTGTAATGAATATCGGCTCGGAATGAGAAATTGGAGAGCCGTGTATGAATTCCAATCGGGTTTGTTTCATTCACTTACGCGCAAATACCCTTGGGGAAAGGTATGAATCTATCTCGTTCCCTCTCCAGCTATGTGTATTTAGCAGGACAGATTGAGACCTATAGCTATGGTTGGCAAAGAAAGGGCAACCTACAACGAGAAAATCTTCTGCCTCGTCAGTTATGAATCAAAAGAGACATGATAGCCCAAACGTATATGGCCCTTAACTAAGTGTAACGGTTAGAGACTCAGAAATATAAATAAACGGCACGAATTCGAATCCCAGCCGAGTGGGTTACGTCCAGTTTTGCACAAATACCGAATTGAGAATGGTATGACTATCACAGCAAGTTATTATATTGTATGCTAGTTTTTTTATTGTTTAATAGATTATTATTGGTACACCACTGATTTAATGTACTATATCATCCACTGAGAGCCCTAGCACTAATAAGATATACATTGGGTCCACGAAGAATAATTTTAAAGATAGATGGAGGCAGCATAAGTGTTCTTTCAATAATATAAACAAAATAAATCAAACTTCCCTATCTAAATATTTTTGGCATTTGAAGGAAACAAATAGGACACCTAAAGTTAAATGGAAAATTATTAACAAGGCTAGAACATGTAAAACTTGGGATGACCCATGCCCTTTATGCCTCCATGAGAAATTACACATAATTAAGCTTCTAAATAATAATAATCTATTAAACAATAGACACGAGTTAACGGTTTTTTGTAGGCATCATCAGATTTTTGGTTTGAACTATTAGCTAAAAACTAGCATACAATATAATAACTTGTTTAATCCATAGCCCACTCATCAGATTCATGATTTGAATAATTAACTAAAAACATGCATACAATATAACACCCTTCATAATCCATATCCGAAATAAATAGTTTAAATAACTTAAAAAAAGATAAACCTTTATGAAGGCGTCAAAAAACAAACGTTACGACAGTTTTTGTTTGTTTTTTTTTATAGGCACAGATCCCTTTCATAAAAAAATAAAATAATAAATAAATCTCCATAGACATGCAAACTAGACGAGGGTTAATACATCTTCCGTTTCAAATTTAGACACCCCCACCTTTCACTGACTTGACATCTACGAAAGTAACTCTATACTGATACTTATTATTAACACCCAACACCCGCCTACCCAACTTAAACAATTCGCCCTAGCTGTTACCATGGAAATTTTGATTTCAATTTTTAAAACCCGTAAATTTCAGAAACACGTTATTCCAAAAAAAATTTCGCTTGAAGATGGAACAGAGCTTATTTTAACTCAATTTAATTTAAATATTTTAAATAATTTAAATAATTATATTGAAGTTTTCGGCTCTTGTTTTGAAACATGGGACTTCTTATGTTGCGATTTGGAATCATATTTTTAAATAAATAATTATATTTATGCTCTACTTTTGTATCGAGCACTATTTTTTAAAAATAATAACTAAAATACTAAGGGACTTTGGATTATTTACCTAACCAGTTCCTTCCTATTTTCTATATATTTTCACACATATATATATATATATATATATATCAAGATTATGGAACTTTAAATTAAAGTCTCGATATTTGTCGTGAAAATGAGAGGATAGTCTTTTTGCATCTTTGGTGTGAAAGCAAGATACGTGAGTAGCGTGACGGCTTTTTGCACGCAAACTGAAATCGGTTAAGTCCAACTTCTGGTCGAGGTCGTCACGTTCAGTTCTCCATCATTTTCCCGCCCGCCTATCGATAAAATACTAAAGTAGATTGGACTCTCTAAACTTTGATGGCAGTCATCCTAGATAAAGGGCAAATCTGAATTCAGAACTGTAGACAAAACAATCGAAAACCGCACTGATACCTTTTTCAAGAAATTACAGTAATTAAAAAAAAATTAAAAATATGGAATTGTGTACAGCTTTGATTGAAGTACTTCAAGGTACTGAAGGAACACGCCATATTGAGAAAATATAAGGGATTTAAATAGCGGTCTGGCACTGGCTATTGTCATGTTTCTAAATTAGATTTCTCTGTTTAGTCCGCTGAATAAAATGAAAGAAAAACGACCGAATATTGCGACTTTTTTATGTGAGTCGTTTAAAACGACAATTTACAGAAATTTGGCACTTCCTGCATTTGTTCATTTCTCTTTATCCATCTTTGAAAAGAATTTAGTTGACTGATTTCGGAAAAGGAGAAAACCATGAGTTATCTGGCTGGGATCGAACTTACTACGGTATAAATGAATTGCAAGTTGCATCATCATGATTTTCATCATCATTATTCCAATGAACGGGTGGATTTGTAGGGTAGCTGCGCAGCTGAGAATTTCCCTTCACATATCGAGATTGAAAGGCCGAGTATTCATTCATACGTAGCATGTCTTGGACAAGTAAACCTGACGGAGCCTATCCTTCTCCAGATCAGAGGTCAGGAGATGTCCTACAACTTGGAGGCTCGCCTTGGTCAGGGACACGTGGCTTTTGATTTAATCGGTTGAACCTTCCGACCTGGCCCTTCAGTTTAGAAGACTGTCATCCCAGTAATTCTTTGTCTTCATCGCACTGGCTGTATTCGTAGCTATGGAACGCAGTCTACCACGTTGTTCTAGATAACCGTCTTCAATTCAAGAAGGTCCATCCGCTCTTTGACGAACTTTTAATCCTGTTGCGTGTCTCTCCACATCAGAAATGCATGATAGGGGAACCGATTTAGTCAGCGCAGACCATAACAATCGGGCAAGTTACTGAGTTACATGTTGCCATTAGCAATCGTAGTGACCTGACTTACGCAAGATGCCTAGGATATTAATAAATTTAGCTTAGTTTGAAACAAGGTCAGAAGAGTTACTTATTGATGAGGCTAATTATTCAGAGAGATGAAACTGTTATACATTGCTCTACGATAATCACCATAGAGAAACTTTCCTGCCTATCAACAGTATGACAGACACTAGACACCAGGAGAGGAATACACCGCGCCTTCTTAGCCTCACGTTTTCCTCTGGCATGAAGTGGAGCGGCTACATCGAATCAATAGCTGTATCTACTGCAAGGAAAGTTGGGTCACTGTCTCGTATCAGAAAATGTTTCTTTTCTGAATCCATCTTGTACATTTACAAATCTGCCATTCGTCCGTGCATTGAACACTATTGCCTTATCGTGTCTGGTGTTCCTGTTGTGCATCTAGAAATTCTTGACAAAATTCAAAGCAGCATCTGTAATGTAATCGATCCTGACCAGTCATTTTGACTGCGTTCATTTTCTCACTTATGTGAGTGGCCTCCCTCTGTCTTTTCTACAAATATTATCATGGTAACTACTCTGCCCCGACTACATGAATTTAAGCCTGCTAATACATTGACATATAGCTCCCACCTTTTTACTGTTGAACTAGATAAATACAATAGCCACTTCTACCCCAATAGTTTCTTTTCGCACTTCCCGCCTGTGGAACTCCCTTCCGTTTACTTGCTTTCCTAATAACTACAATCTTCAAAAATTTAAATGCAACACCAATCGCTACCGCCAACTTCTGTTTTCTTGAATCCCGTTCTTCTTGTATCCTTTAATCAGCCCTCCCTATTCTCAGTCTTCTCTTTTCCTTTCAGTCACAGTAACCCCGTGCGTACTAGTGGCATTCCCGCCTTGCTTGAGTTGAAAGGATTTTAAAAAAAAAAGAAGGTGCTCAAAGTTGATATTTACTGAGCATACAAAAGTAAAGACTCCAGCGAAGACTGAATTCTTAAAAAGGTAACAACGGCCTACAAGACCCACTTGCTAACCATTGGGTCATGGCGGAGCTTAATTCACAGTTCCTTAAGAATGGATACTTGCTCATGTTTGGAGATTCTCTCTCTTCCTCCCTCTTTCAACCGTCTCTCCTTCCGTTACCTCCCTCCCTCCCTCCCCCTCTCTCTCTCTCTCTCTTTCTCTCACACACACACAAACACATGCACCACTTTATATCTCCTTTAAATTCTCTCTTTCTCATTCTCCCTTTCTCTCTCAGTCAAACCTCTTTCTCTCTCACATTCCATGTCACTTTTCTCTTACAACCCCTCTTTTTCTCAATCGTATTCTTTCTCACACAAATATTCTCCCTTTCTCTCGCATCCTCTCAGTTTCTCCCATTCCTTTATTCACACACACTCTCATATTTTCCCTCTATTTCTCTCACTATATTTTTCACTTTCAACTTTTGCTCTCTCTCTCATTCTCTATCTTATGCTTCCCTCTCTCTCTTACTCGCATTAAGACTCTATCTTCCCCTCTCTTTCATATTCCCTCTTTTTCTCGCTCAGGATCTCTGTTTACGTTCCCTCACGCTCTCATTTCTCTTTCACACAGAATCTTTCTCTCTCTCTCTCTCTCTCTCTCTCTCTCTCTCTCTCTCATACACACACACACACACTAGCTCATCTTTTCTCACTCACTTGCATTCTCTTATTCTCTCTGATTTTCTTATTATGTCTTTCACCCAAAGCTTCTTCCATTTTCTTTTTCCATCCTTTTCTCTCTTGCTTTCATTTAAACGCTTCTTTCACTCTCATTATCTCTTTTTCCTACTCTCTTTCTATCACTACATTCCCTCTCTTATACTCTTTCTTTCTTTTTTTCTCATTCACATCTCTTTCTTTCATCCATTTATATTTCTCTCTGTGTCTCTTTTACTCTCTCTCTCTCACCTTCTCATTATCTCTCAGCCACACACTTTTTCTCTCTTTAATACTCTTTTAATCACAATCTCTCTTTCTCTAAATCTATCTTTCGCTCTATTTCTCCCTCTCTTCCTCTCAATCAGTCGTTCTCTTTTTCCTTCTATTATGTTATCTCTTTCCCTCATATACAACTCTGTCTCGCACTCTCACCCTCTCTCTCTCTCTCGTTATTTCGCTCTCATTCTATCTCTGTCACGTTTTCGTTGTCTTCAGTCGTTTCACATTCTTTTTTTTTTCTCTTTTTTCAATCACCCTCTCTCTTTCCTTCGCTAAAATACGCTCCCTTTCTTTTCTCACTCTCTCTCTCTTGCCTCTCTCTTACTCTCTCTCTCTCTCACACACACATACACTTTCTATCTAATACATCTCTCTATGTATGTGTGTGTGAGTGGAGTGAATAAAACCTTGTCTACTTTAGCATAAAACGGAAGGCTATTCACTTGATTTGTCTGAGAAGTAAAAAAAAAAATACGATTTTTTTTTTCAGATTTAGTAACTAGCGTATTAATTATAGTTTAAGAAATCCGTAATTCCTGAGACTCAGTCTACTTTAAATAGTCAGTGAAAGAAGTTTAGGATTTGGCAAAAAGACAAACACGTACTTAATATTTGAAGTTAAAACGGGTAGTTCTGATGGTAAAAGAGGCAAAATCTTGCTTTTTGTCCACTTGGGTGACGGGGTAAATTATCTAGTTAATTATATCGGCAAAAGCCTGGTTGGCTTGATAAAAAGGAGAAATGGATGCTAAATAGAAGAAGAAAAAAACAGATTCTTTCAGCCCGAAGAGGATCGATATCAGCAGCCAACTGAATGAAGATGGGCTTAAAGAAAGAGAAGTAAAACATATTTTACATATTTTACGGCACATCGACTCCTATATAAAAGTCATATAATTCTAGATAAATTCAATTCTTTTTTCTTTTTAAACGCCGTGTTCCTTCAGGATGCAGGCGATCATGGCTCATAAGCGTCCTCCTTGTTTGCATCCTCTCCTAAAACACATTGCTCATAGGTTCATCATATCCTTAGCATCCTTCTGTAGAACCACATCTCCGTTGCCTCAAGACTCTTCATCTTTCAGAAGACCGTCCAACCTTCGCTGCCGTAAAGGACATATCACGCAGCACATCAGTATTCTTTTCTTTGTTACCAAAGAAATCCTCTTGTCTCGTAAATGCGTCTTAGGCCATCCCAATACCTCTTCAGATCTCAGCATTACACTTGTCGTCCTATAGCTTCTATATATTTCATCCTCATCTTATATAAGTAGGGAATTATAGGCTTAAACGGGATTAGAGTAGAATGAGTGAGAAACAGGTAATTAATGTACTCATTCATGTATAATACGCAGCTTGTTTTTTCAGATTTGAAACGCTACATTCGGGATTGTATGATCGAAAGTAATTCATATCACCGGTTCAAACGAAAATGTGTAAAATAGAACGAGGTTAAATTATTCAGCAGTTCTCACAATTTTGGTTCGTTGCGCTGCATTTTCGGAATAAACATTTGCTCACTATTATTATTTTCAGTCGATCTGGTGCTCTTACTGTGCATCTCGAGATTCTTGACGAAATTCAGAGAAGAATCTGCAATACAATCAATTCTGCCCAGGCATGTTGTCTCTAGTCTCTTTCTTCCTCATGTGATGTGGCTTCCCTCTGTCTGTTCTACAAATATTTTCATGGCAAATGCTCTGTAAAGGTTTTTTTCTCTCTCTCTCTCTGACACCTATTTACACAAAATCTTAGATAAGTTTCTCTGCTTCCATTGTTTTCAATATGTCAAGTATGTGCCAAATTCTCCAACTCCCCTTTCCTCATTATGTCTCCAAATTTACAAATATCCTTCTGGTTTTCATTTTGCGAAAAACTATGTTAATATTTACATCTTCTGTCCACAGTATCTTTATCCTTCTATGAGGGAATTATCAAATATTCCTTGCTACATTCATTGATATTACATAGCGTTTAGAGACTCTTATTTTCATGCCTAATAAAATTAATGTGATAATTTATTCTTTGCATATATTTTAGAAGGCATTTTACATTTTTCCAAAGTGTCTTCAAATTGCTGTGCTACATTATCCGTTAAAATTCCCCAAATAATTAAATTCCTGTACTTACTTATTTTGACGTCTCCAATTCGTAGCTTGCATCTATCCCTTTTGCTAACGACCATACTTACTACTATTTGCATCTGATGCTTATTCCTTTCTTCTCGCTTTCCTTTACTAAGTTGTCTGGGAGTTTTTGTAGTTTTCTTTATCAACACGGTGTCCTCTGCGTATTTTATCTAATTAATATTCTGTCCGTCAATAATAAATCCCGATAGAATTTTTAGTTCTCTTACGACTGTCTCGCTTTCATGGTTTAATAAATCCGGTAAGAAGACGCATCCTTGCCTTACGCTTCGTTTTTTTATTGTGTATTTGCTCAATTAAAATTCTAAAAAGATTAATTTCTCTTTAAGGAGAAAGTTCTTTTCCATATTTCTTTAGCTCAAAGTTTATTTAGGAGTGCGTATTATACACGAATAATTAGAGAATATATTCTTTAAGTTCTCTATGAAAATTCTTCCACAATCAAGCAAAATTACTCCTATATTTGGTAATTTTCATTTATATCATTGTCATTTCATTATGCCTTACCTAATTACCTATCGACCTTCTTCTAAAGTACGAAAACACCTTCTTTAATTCTGAGATTAGACATTATCCTTCCAATATTTGTTTAGTTTATTGATATTTTTGGCGTTTGCCACAACGTTTTATTTGGTCGATTCTGTGACGTTCCTCTGATGAAATGACATATGGCCAGTGATAATTCGTATTTTAGTGCGATAATCCAGATGCCCACCCGTATTTTAAGTGTGATAATCCAAACGTACCGTCTATATGGAAAGAAGGGAGGATTTCCTTTTAGCCTCAGATACTTATTTTCCAATTCATATCTATAAAATGACATAACGAGTGACAATCGGTATTTGAATGTGATAATTCACATGCCCACGCGAAACAAAACACCACGTAAGAGCGTCGTTTATGTTAGATCATCCAGAAATAGTACGGTTACGACGACCATTAGCACAAACGACATGATATATCGATTTAAAGGCTTCGTGATTTGAGATTCGTACCCCAGCAATAACTTCGGTTAGCACTAAGAGACGAGACGAAGACACACGCTGACGCCAGAAGAACGTGTCTGTGCAACCGTCCCCATGTGGAAGTGTAACCTCCTCAAAACAAAATGGTTTTGCCTCACCGTATTTTTGACTCACTTGCAAGCCAAAACTATATCAGCCTTTGTAATTTCGTGCAACTTGACTTATCTCTAACTTTTTGAGTCTCTGGAAAACCGAAACTGTTCAGCTTTTTTGACTCTCTTGAAAATCAAACATACGTTTAGCTTTTTTCACTCTCTTGAATACTGTATTTATTTTGTATTGATGCGGCATTCACCCTGGGCGGATTGAGCCGGCTTCTTCCTGTTGACTCATTCGTAGTCATGTGAGAAGAAGATTCTTGGGATAAATTACAGAAGTAGGGTACCCAGGCCTACTCGGATAACGTTCTTGCTTGCCGCGGGGTTCCCACAGACGCAGAGACAGGAACGACCAGAAGCCGCCGGTTTCCGATGCAGACGCTCCTTGGATTTTTCTTTTTTTTTAAGAGCAGGTTTGAATTCAGAGTTTTCCTTCTCCTAGACTAGTTGCCATCCAAGGCTATAGAACCCAGTCTGTCCTGCTATTTAGCCATAGCTGGAGGGAGAAGAAAAGGATTCACACCTTTCCCAAGGGTGTTAGCACGTAAGTGGATTCGACTGAAATTCGAACTTGGCTCTCCGATTCCTCAATCCAAGCCGCTATCCACTACTCCACTATCTTGAATACTGGATATAGGTCAAACGTTTTTTAACTCTCTTGAAAGTCGGATATAGGACTAGCTTTCTTCACTCTCATGAAAATTGGACGTATATCTAGTTTTATATTTTTCTTTTTACGTGACATGTCCTTTCAGGACATAGGCAATCATGGCTCTCCACATCTTTCTATCTCTTGCAGCTTTTAACAAGTTCCTTTATCCCCCAGACCACGTTCTGTCATCCACTTGCTCAAGCCCGCTAGGTATGACATGCATTGTTTTCCCTTGTCTTTCTTTCCCTCTATTCGACCCGTGAGTATCAGATTCTCCGGGCCCTCCTTCCTCATTATGTGTCCTAAGCACTTTAGCTCTCTCTCTCCCTGATGTTAAGTATAAGCCTCCTCCTTGTTTGAAACATCTCTAAGACTCCATCTTTGCTCACACACTCGCTACATGATATCCTTAGCATCCTTCTGTAGAACCACATCTCCGTCGCCTCGAGTCTCTTCTTCATCTTTGAGGAAATCGTCCTCATTCGCAAAGAAGGACATATGTCACGTAACATCTCAGTATTCTTTTCTTTGTTACCAACGAAATTCTCCTGTCTCGCAATAGTCTTTCCAATTTTCGGAATGCGTCCTTGCCCATCCTAATACGTCCACAGATCTCAGTGTCGCGTCGTGAAAACCGAACGTATTTCTGGCATTTTTACTCTAGGGAAAACCGAATCTATGTCTAGCTTTTTTTTATATACTCTAGTGAAAACCAGACCTGTGTCTACCTATTCATTCTCTTGCAAACTTTATCAATGGCTACCTATTTTTATTAAAAAGAGAGAATTCAGTATTAGATAATCTGGAAAACATTTATATGCTTCAAACCAAGCCAAATGAAATCGTATATACTGTTACTTCCATATAGCGAGTTCGATGCATTACGAGGTGTGCTATGCTTTTGTGGCATGCGATGGTAAGACTTATAAACAATGCATGCGGACCTGCGCGCTCATGTCTGTGCGAAACGTGCCTCATTTTATTCCTAACTGAGCTAACACCACCCAGCTGAATTCTGCTACTTTGTGTTCGAATGGATTCTGATTATTTCTCAATTAATTGATTCTATTTCCTGCTATTTGTTTACGTTTATTTCAGTAACTATGTTTTTGTTGATTTCTTTCGTCATGGGTTTTCCCTGCTCATTTTAAATGAGATTATATGCTTCTTTTATTGGTTTCTTGGTATTTTTAGACAAATTTAAATTAGACAAGATTTCGTGTCTCGAGAAACAAAGCTACCTTCAAATTAAAACCCCACACACGCGCGGAGACAAGCAGAATAACGATTATATGGTCGATTCTTTAAAATGAGAAAATGAAGAAAATAAGTTTTTTGTTTTATTATTATCATCAGCATTTTTTTATTATTAATCGAAAAGTTAATATTTAAATATTGATTCTAACATGTTCTATGACGCTCTCAAAAATACCTTTTTTGAATTGATTTCATCGCTAAATATTTACACGATTTAACTTTGTCTGACACAAGGCCTGCAAACTGGATCTATAGGGTGGGGCCTTGCCAATGTAATTTTCCTCTCTGGTTTTAGAACTTTATGACCCTCTTATTTCTATCAAGGTGTATGTGTAGATTCCTTTCCCTAAAATATGCACATCGCTGAACCCCGCCTATTTTTCATTTATTTCTCCAGTGAAATTTATCGAACCTAAAGGAATTCCTTTTTTTTTTTGGATTGACACCGGGTGGGGAAAGAATGGGCAGTCTGAATAATAAAAATGGAATGCAGTCTGTCTTTTATGCCTTATACCAAAATTTTAAAAAAACAAATTCTTCAAAAACGTGAAAAGAGGTTCATGATATTATCATTTTAAATTCAGTTTTCGTCTTTCTTTCTTTCTTTTCCATTCTTTCTTTGTTGTCCCTCTCTCACTCTTTCTTTTTCTCTCCCTATCTCTTCATTAGTCTTTTTTTTTGTTTCTTTCTTTTTTTATTTTTGGTTTTCTTATTTCTTTCGTTCTTTTTTTGCAATTTTCTTTTTCTTTTCTTCTAATTTTATGTATAGATCGTTTACTTTTCTTATTCTTCATTATTTTCCTTTTCTTTCTCTTTTTTTTTTAATTTATTCATTTATTCATTCTTTTCTCTCCGTCTTATTCTTCCATCCTTTATATTCTTTTTTTCTTTTCTTTTTTTTTTTTTCTCTCTTTCTTTCACTTTCTTTCGTATTTTCTCTTTCTTCCATCGCATTTAACAAATTTTCTCTATGTGTATTTTAATTTCTTCTTTTTTGTTCTCTTTCTTTCTAGCCTTTTCCTATTTTTTTTTGGGGGGGGCGGTTGGACAATTTTCTGAAAATTACTTTCTTTCCATTTCTTTCATCTCTTTTGAATAGCCTCCTATATTTTCAATCATTCTTTGGTTCATTTTTTTATATTTCCTTCCTTATTTTAAATTATTTCTCTTTATATTTTTCTTTATTTCTTCCCTATTACATTCAATCTTTTCCACCATTTTCTTTCATCTTACTTTATGTATTTCCTTTTTATTTATTTTTTCCTCTTAATATTTTTTCTAATTTTTTTTCTTATTTTCTTTATATATTCTTTTTCTTCAATACTTTCTACTTTTCTACAACTTTCTTTCTCTCTTTCTTTCTTTTTTATTTCTGGTTTTCCTTTCTTATATGCCTTTTATCCTTTATTTTCTTTTCGCCATTTTGAATTTTTTTTATTTATAAGATCTTTTCCCTCTATCTTTTCCTCACCTTCTTTCTTTCTTTTTTTCTTTCTTTTTTCTTTCTTTTTTATTTCTGGTTTTCCTTTCTTATATGCCTTTTATCCTTTATTTTCTTTTCGCTATTTTGAATTTTTTTTTTTATAAGATCTTTTCCTTATCTTTTCCTCACCTACTTTCTTTCTTTCTTTTTCTTTTTTTTTTTTCTTCCTTTATTTCTTGTTTTTTTCTTATATGCCTTTTTATCCTTTATTTTCTTTTCGCCATTTTGAATTTTTTTTTTTTTCTTTATAAGATCTTTTCCTCTATCTTTTCCTCACCTTCTTTCTTTCTTTCTTTCTTTTTTTTTCTTTTTTTTTTCTTTTTCTTTTTTTTTCCTTTATTTCTTGTTTTTTTTCTTTTGATTTTTTTATTTATAAGCCTTTTATCCTTTATTTTCTTTTTATATACCTTTTTATCCATTTTGAATTTTTTTTTTTTATAAGATCTTTTCCCTCTATCTTTTCCTCACCTTCTTTCTTTCTTTCTTTCTTTCTTTTTTTCTTTCTTTTTTCTTTCTTCCTTTATTTCTTGTTTTCCTTTCTTATATGCCTTTTATCCTTTATTTTATTTTCGCCATTTTGAATTTTTTTTATTTATAAGATCTTTTCCCTCTATCTTTTCCTCGCCTTCTTTCTTTCTTTTTTTCTTTCTTTTTTATTTCTGGTTTTCCTTTCTTATATGCCTTTTATCCTTTATTTTCTTTTCGCCATTTTGAATTTTTTTTATTTATAAGATCTTTTCCCTCTATCTTTTCCTCGCTTTCTTTCTTTCTTTCTTTTTTTCTTTCTTTTTTCTTTCTTCCTTTATTTCTTGTTTTCCTTTCTTATATGCCTTTTATCCTTTATTTTATTTTCGCCACTTTGATTTTTTTTATTTATAAGATCTTTTCCCTCTATCTTTTTCTCACCTTCTTTCTTTCTTCTTTTTTCTTTCTTTCTTTCTGCCATTTTGTTTTTATGTTTTCAAAAAAAACACAAAAACGCTTTTTGTTTTGATGTCTTACGTCCTGAAGAAGGAGGTCCATGTGGAATATGAAAAAAACTCAAACAAGAACAAACTACAACTAGTTTGAAACTTTGCCCAAAACACTGGAATCACGATTAGATGAGCTGGAAATCGAATAAATTAATAAAATCTTCAGACTTTCGTTACCACAGCGTTGCGATCCTACTTAGAAAGGCACTAGAGATCTAATGGGACTTGCTGTCACTCATTTCTCAACAATAAATATTAGGAATAATATTCCTAATTATACACCATATGGTTTATGAAATGTGTAAAAAAGATTCAAATCATTAATATGGCAGTGACTTTCATCATAAATGATTGCCTTATACTTTGACCATTATTGAATGCTTTGTAAAGTTTAGTATGTATATGGCGGATACCTATCTGAGGGTCATTCGACTCGTATACCATTTAATAAATATAAATAAGTTTAAACTTATCTAGGTGCTCGAAACATATAACCTCTTACAGAAACTAAGCTATGATTAATAAATACTTAGAACGTCTCATTGTGAAGTTAATGGTAGAAAGTTAACCTATGTCTTCCAGCCATCAGCTGAAACTGACGACATTTTTTCCACGTATTGTGATCATTTTGCTTAAAGTTCATTTCAAATGAAAACATATTAAATTTTCAACATATTCTAGTGAAATTTTCACCTTCCAAAATTATAGTTTATAATAACTGTTTAAAAATATAGTAAAAAAGGCATTAATTAAAATATACGCCAGGAGGGGTATTGTTTAAATATTCGTTTATCCATTTTGTATCTTTAAGTTCGTATTTTCTTGTTTTCCAATAAAAAGTTGGAATAATTCCAGTATATTTCAGTCGAAAATTCTCTTTACAAATTTATAGTTTGTAACTAGAGTTGAGCGATATGAAAAATGAAAGTAAGTTTAAATTTACTCCAGAAAGATACGGATACACTAACTCCATCTTTTATAGCCATGATGCTATTTTTTATTTTTTTTAATTTCAGATCAAAACTTGAAAATTCTCCAAAATATTTCAGTGAAATATTCACTTTCGAAAATTATAGTTTATAATTATTCTTTAGTTACATGGGAAAATTGAGGTATCAGTTTCAAGTGATTCCTGGTGGATATGGGGTAATCTTGTATATCATTACCACTATTATGTGTTCGATCCTCATTTTGTCCCTGTCACAATTTTTACCTTGTTCTCTAAGCCATAGTTTAATGATAATAATAATAATAATAATAATAATAATAATAATAATAATGATGATGAAAAATCAATTAACAATACTAAACAAAGATAAATATCACATCAACTCCAGCGCACTCATCAGCATTTACGATCGATGTAACGGACTTTATACTATTACTATCCCATCAATCTAGACTATCGACGCTATCTTGACAACCATCCTCACGAAAATATCAATTATCTCCACAGTCTTAATTACACAAACATTACCTTTCCTTCAATTAACTCCAGTCTTCTATCTCTTCAAATCCCCTTACCAGGACAACAGTAAAATATTTCCACTTCTTTCCTCCTCTATTTCATTCGTTCTGCGCTTGCAAACACAATTCGTATCTGTAAAAATCAAGCAATAGCTCCATTTTCCGATTTCCCCAAAACTGAAGACATACTTCCCGACGCACCACGCTGCCCTGGTTTCGAGGAATGTCGTTTGCCTAACACCAGGATACCGGTCTCAATCTGCTTTTGTCCCTGGGGACTTTTCTTCTGAGATGAAGAGGGTATCAACTTCGGTGACCCTGGCATTCACAGATGATCGATGAAGGCAGACGCGAGTGCAAACCTGATCGACCATGGAATGCAAACTTCCTGACCCATTCACCCTTCAATAAATCGAGCATTTTTTATCAGCATCCTTACTATTACTACTACTACTACTATTATTATTATTATTATTAATGCTATGGACATCTGCGGAAAGACCTAAGGCAGGTCGTGGTGTGTTGTTATGGCCATTTCAAATTAATTTTTTTTTTTTTTTTTATCTCCGAAATTGCTTCATAGACAAAGTTCTCCTTAGTTACCTGTACAGACAATTTTCTGTATGTCCTTAAGCTGGGGTTTCAGGGATTCTTTCAATGTGTTGTTTTGTTCCATTTTTTATAATTCCAAGACCTATTACCAATGGTATTATTCTTGTTTTCAATTTCACATTTTTTCTATTTCAATTTCAGGTCTTTGTATTTTGATAGTTTTTCAAATTCCTTGGTTGCTATGTTACAATCCGCTGGAAATATCAATTAGTAGGCAAGTTTTTTTTCTTTCTGGTTTTTGAAATAATGTCAATATTTGCTTCAATTTTCTGTCTGTGTGGATGGTATAATCCCATAGAATGGTGACATCTTCTATTTCTGTAACCGGCGCTGGCCGATGTTCATACCAGTGTTTAATTTTCCAAAGTGTTTGCAAAGTATTGCCCCGCTCTATCGTGACGATTTTTATATTCATTTAGAACAAAATCATAGAACATCCTGAGATTAGATGGTCTATTGTTTCTTGGTATTTGTCACAGAACCTGCATTTTGGATCCATTATAAATGATATTTGCCTGAAAATTCCTAGTGAAAAGACTCTGGTCTTGCTGCAAGAATAAAGCCTTCAGTTTCAGACTTTAATCCAATGCTCGTAACCATCGATGAGTTTATCAACATTGGGTTTATTTGCACGTTCTGGATATTGGCCATGCAGTTTGTCTTGCCAGCGTTGTTTCATCTGTTCAAGGGCTTTATCCTTGGCTTTCTTTTCATATCTTTTGCTGCAATAGTTGGTTCTTGGCTTCTGTTTTGATTTACTACAAATCTACTAAATGTAAATGTTGTTTGTATTTACTGCCTTCTTTTATTATTGAATATTTTTTTTTTCTGTTTTCATGTTGTTTCACTAATTTTATCATCCAGTCATTTTGTTGTTTCCATGTAAGTTAGTAAGCCAATAGTTGTTGTCTTGTATAAATTCTAGCTGAATAAGAACCTTCTTTACATTGTATAGACGGTCTAATGGGATGATGATCTTATAGTTAAAAAGAAGCTTTCTTGTTTTAGATCCATTTGTCTGATGTCATTTTAGCCATCAAGATGTTGAAACTATATTGGACCACTGGGATGGCAAGGTTTTTGGCCACGTTCTGAGAATTCATCATTTTTTTAATACCAGTCCGTACCCTTCTATAGTACTCTTTACATTTTCTTTCATTTTCTTATGGTGAATTCCATCCTCTCATTTTTCACCTAGGTATTTAAGTTCTCCTTGTTCTAAATCTTTTATTGTTACAATCTAAACTAATAGAGGAAGTTTGTTGTAGCGATCCTCGTAAACATTTAGCACATTTATCCAAATTAATTTCATTCCAATGTTTCAAAGCATTTTACAGTTTGCCAGAAACCTTCAGCTCATTGTCATTCCTAGCATACAATTTTAATCATCCATGTAAAATAGATGGTTTATTTTCTTTTGAGCTATTTTTAAACCGCATTCTGTCTTGTTAAATTAATGCTATAAGTGATATGCAAAATAATAAAGGAGACAAAAGTATTCCTCTATTGATGTTTATTTCATGCCAGACTTATAGGTTCCATTTTTATGATTTAAAGTGTAGTTTTCCATATCGACATACATTGTTTGATGAAATTGATGATAACGGGTGATACCTTGTACATAAAAGACTTTAAGATGGAATGTGGTACACTATCGAATGCTTTACGATAATCTATCTACTTTTTTTTTTCCACGGAAGCAGTTTTCCAGGATCATCCTATATTAATAAGTTTGGTCTTTACATCCGTAAGCCTCGTTTACACCCTTTTGTTCAAGTGGTTGTCATTTCTTTCAGAAGAATATGTCTGTTTTGTTAAAATAGATGTTAACAGTTTGTATGTTTTGGAAGACATGTTTGGTCTATAGTTTTCGGAATATTTGTGTCACTATTTTGGGTAAGAAAAGGTAACTCCATCCATTTTAGTTGGATCGGTAACCATTTCTTTCTTGCTTTGGCGATTTTTTATTTGTATTTAAATAATATAGCCAGATTAGAATTTTATCTATTCCTGAATTTCCAGTTGTGTGCTTTTTTCTGCATTTAAATCTTCTTCTGTGATTCCACCCATGTCTGTTCTGGTTTATTTTTTCATTCGTTTTAACTCTTGCGCAATCAATCTGCCTCTTCGTTGTGTTCTTTAGAAAATTTTCCCCAAACTGTATAACTTCTTCCATTTTGTTTCAATTCTTTGTTTACCTATTTCCCTGAAAATTTCTTTGCATCGGTTTGAAAGATCTTGTTCTTTATAGAATCTTGACTTTTCTCGAAAAATTGAGCCTTCAGTTGTATTGTTTTGCTTTTATTTTTTTCTTTAGTTTCTTCGATTCCTGATATTGATTTTCTTTCGATGCCTTTTCTAGTTTTACATTTACTCCTCTTGCTAGTTCATCGAGTACTGATAATTCACTTCTACCACTTTTATGTGTTCGATCTGTGAGACTGCCTTTTTTACTTTTGATGTTCCCTGATGCATATATTTTACCTTGTTTATATGAGTGTCTTCTTCATCCAGAATAATTTGTGCTGCATTATAGAGCTTAATAGTTTTGAGGTTAATTTGTTGGTTGTAATTTTGGGATTGTTCTCGTTCCTCCATTGCAATATTCTGTATCTGATTATATGGCTCAATTTCATCCTTATTCTGTATATTAATCTTGTTTTCTGTGAAATAATTCTGTTCGATGAATTTTTGAACTCGTTTTATTACCGTCTTGTGACAAGATCATACCTTTCCAACATTTCTAAATTTTCAGCATAAATTTGTGTGTATTTCGGTTTTTTTCCATTATGACCTGAGGCTTGTGTGATGTTACTTTTTTCCCGATTCCGGTTCCTTTTCATGTTTTGTTGGTTCATCTATTCTTGTTTGCAATTCTTTTTATTTCATTTACGCCTCTGTCAATCGGTTAACGATGTCCCTTCTTACATTTATTTATTTT